GTCTCTCTCCTCTCCGTCTCCCTCTCCGTCTCCCGTCTCCCTCTCGTCTCTCTCTCTCTCTCCTCTCTCTCTCTCCCTCTCCTCTCCTCTCTCTCTCTCTCTCTCTCTCTCTCTCTCTCTCTCTCTCTCTCTCTATCTCTCTCTCTCTCTCTCTCTCTCTCTCTCTCTCTACTCCTCATTTACCAAAATCGAGCAAAAATCAATCCTGAGACTTCCTATCAATGCAAAAGAGCAAACACCAGCTCGGCAGATATGACAACTACCCAAACCAAAACTTTCCGCGACATTTGCATCTGCTCTGAGCATGAGCCAAAAGTGGAGGAACTGGTGTGCACCGGCCCAAAGGAACACGGCCGCCAGACAGGACACCGGCGGCTTCCTCTGACCGTCGGCTGGGCACGGACAACCAGAGCCTGCCCTTCCTGCCCGCGTGCCGGCGCATCTGAGCGGTCACGGTACACCTCAAGGCCCCATTGCGCGGCTCACGGTGAGCGCCTGCTGCAGATAGAGTGTGTGGGGGGGGGGGGGGGGGGGAGGCAGCCGGACACGGCGCCACGAACGTGAGCCCCGTCTGCGCACCAGTCCCGTGGCCGCGGCCGCCCACCCCAGCCCGGTCACAGCTGCAATACGTCTAACGAGCGAACAATTCGATGCCTCGCCGTGCCCTGGTAGGCAAATTTCGGGCGCATGGATACATTACCGTCAGCTCCGGAGTGAAACACAATTTAAGCCAGCATCAGATGAAACGCTCCCTGCGGCCACCGGCAGCCTGGGTGAATAGCATCACCTTCCAGAACTTCGGCCCGGCATCGCTTACAACTCAGCGCCTTCCCTGATTTCGCCGGGGATTCCGTGATACAACGTTCTGCTGCAGCCGGCTACAAAACTGCAAGGAATCTGCCTCCTTAAATAGCCACTCCATTGGAGATTCAGCTCTCAACAGTCGCTAAAGTTTCCCCATTATCTGACAACGACAGGCAGAGTCGTTACGTCCCGGGGCTCGTACCGTTCCGGGCGTCTTTGACGACGCCCTATAACTCCGGCCAAAAACCGGCGGAGGACTGTCCAAGTGTGGACGCTTGTGAGTGGCCGGGACGGCGGCCGATCTGAGACAAAACGGAGGCCACTCTTGGCCCTCCAGACGCCCGTATGGCCCAGAAGAGCGCGTGCAGCAAAAGCAACTGGGCTGTGCGCCACACCGCGCTAAACATGGCAGTATCTGATAATATCTTGTATCCTTGACGGTGTTTGGTAGCAATTTTTAGCACAAAAACACGAAGAAAATGAGGCATATTTCAGGTAACCGTGCACATATTCAGACCTTATGCTCGGGGACATGGGCGAGAAGTGGCATCGAATTTACGGCAGTATTGCTCCCACTATGTGCCTCTTGGCTCCGTCCATTGCAGACATTTCGTTGGGAATTTCAGTTGGCAACGAGCTGATGGTTCGGGTCGATTTGATGGTTTGGGCCACCGCTTGCAAGAAAACCCGTTGGTTTCACTTCACGATGACGAAGCGGGCTGGAGCAGGTTTCTGGGCAGCATCGCGAGACCGAGCTCCCTGTTTGCAGAGCTGGCATCGTGTTGGCAAGATGAGCGGGTGACGGCTCAGAATAGCGCGATCAATGGCATGTGCCGGCGAAAACAATCGAGATTAACCGGCCATTCCACGCTGAATTAGAACGGAGCCGAATGAATTTTGGCCGCCCAGACCCGAGCCGCCATTGTGCGCAGTGACACTCCAGCAAACAAGTGATGAGGTGGCCGGTGGGCCGTCACATCCACCATGCATTTCTGTCACAATCTTCCTGGCACTCTCGTATCTCGTCGTATACAACGTGGCCCTCATTGTCCCGATGTCGCAGCAATATGCGAAAAGTGTTCCATTTTACGCCACTAGCCGGCGTTGAAGCCTCGCCGATTCCACTCGGCCCGCCCGCCCTGAGCGTGCAGGGGACCCTTGCGCGGCATCCATCACTCCGGGGGAGCTCATCCGCTCCCGTTGGGCCACTCCTCGCCGCCCCCTGAGGGCCCTCCCGCGACCTCTCTCCCTCTCCGCCCCTCCCGCGTCCCTTCTGCCGCCAGCCGACTCCACCCGATCCGCATTCTCCACGCGTTCCACCCGGACACGGGGGACAGCGGCCCAGTCGGCGCCTCCACAACAACGGAAGCGGACCGGGCGGCCGCCCCGCGCCCGACGCTCGAATCGATAGCGGCACACGCTGGGCGGGCCAGCCGCCGGCCTGGCAGCGCCTCTCGTCGCGTCACCCGCCGCCGCCCGCCGCCGCCACCAGTGCCGCCGGCTGGGGGTGCGGGGCCGGCCGCAATCCCATTAGAAGCGCCGATGGCGTGACTGGTCACAGCACGTGCTGTCGCCGGCACGTGAGCCGGCCGGCGCGGTCGGCCCGGCTCGCCCGCGTCGCCGCTGGCCGAGCCGACTCTGAGCCGACGCGCCCGCAGCCTCGAGCGCAGCCGATCCGCCGCTAGGCACGGCCCGCAGTACCCTCAGCCGTGACCTGAGGCCAGCAATCACCCGCGACAAGCCGGTGCATGCTGTGATCCAGCTCTGTGCAATTCCTAGTGTCTGCACTGGGGCAAGGACGGGCAACACATGGCACAGAAACGGTACAGTGGGCCGCTTCGACAATGGTCCAGTGTATTCGCGTCTGTACAGATAGTGCGACTGGTTTCACGCGCCGGTCCGGCCCCGCTCGCTCGCTGCATCCGCATCGCGCACACCTCGTTTTCTCAGTGTCCTGAGGTCCACGCCCTGCCCTGGTCCTGCACTGCCCTGTTCTGTTCTGTTCTGTGCTGTGCTGTGCTGTGCTGTGCTGTGCTGTGCTGTGCTGTGCTTTGCTGTTCTGTTCTGTTGCATCTTATCCTTATCGGCGTGAGTGGGGCCCGAGCGGGTGCTCAGTGTGCATGCTGGGCATTGTTAACGTGGCAACACGCAGGATTGTCGTGGATAATATATAGGGAAATGCAAGAGCAACTGTCTGAATTCTGGGACTCTTAAGTCCAAGCAGGAACTTACGGACAGAGTCGTCATCGGGGGCACGCGCCCCGCCCCCTACTAAATTATAGCGTGTATAAATTCAAAGGTGACTTAAGGCTGACAGTTCACAATTTTAGGTAAATACAAATACGCACGCCTGCGGCACAGCCAGACTCAGCATTCAGCGATTCGTTGTTTTTGCACTGTGTCCCCCTCGCCGACCGTCATCCCCGGTACACCCCCGGGTCCAATGCCCGGCGTTCTACATCCGAAGTGCGGGGCCTGGCGTGCTCTGTTCTCTGCCCTTTGGCACGGCGGTGCCAGGGGATGCCCCGGCCGAGACGAGTGAGGGCCGCGGTTAGTTTAGCCGCAACGACCGCGCGGCCGCCGTCACGTGACCGATGATTTGGCAGCCGGCGAATCCTCGCACAACACACGAGGAGATGGCGCTCAACATCGCAGAAGTAATCGGGTTTTATGGGCGTGTGGACTGCGGTCGATGTTTGCGCCGCGGTCCATATCGCTAATCATCGCTCCGGCACGTGCAAATGGACTAACTGCTGCGTTGCTCGTTTCTCTATACGGTGGATCAACAACGACATGGCTATATTTCCGAACACCGACGCACGGTGGGCACCGATGACGGCTTGTGACCTGGTCGTACGGCGGCGCACGGTGCTGCAGTTGGTGCATTTGCACCACCGCCGTGCACCGGTGCGTCAATCTGCAATGACGTCACGACGACCGTGCCCCCTAATTGGCTGCTCTGAGTTTCAGTCGTCGCTCCCTCCGCCCCATGTCAAGGACCTGAGCGTGCCCTCTGGGTACTGACATCGCTCCCGGGCGACACGAACCAGGCCATCTCGGTGCTGGACGCCCAGCTGGCCGTTGACGAACACCTTGATCTCGCTCTTGCTCCACCGGTTGTAGATGTACACGATGGCGATCACTGTACCACTGCAACGCGCCGGCGGCGGTCAGTCGGGCGTGCTTTGGTCGCTGAGACGGTAACGACGGTACCCCTGCTGAGGCGGACCGGCGGGGGCGGGGGCGGGGGCGGGGGCGCCACTCACACTCCCGTTAGTGGGCCGCAAATGGCGCCCACTCCGCGCAAGCTCCGAATTGCAATGGCAGTCCACAGAGCACTAACACGTACGATATCACGTTACAAACTGAACGTCATGATGGTCAATGCTCTTTGAGTGCACAACTTCAATGGACCACAAAGGACTATCGGAATGTGTCAGAACAGCGCTGTGCCACGCTGGCCCAGAGACACCGACAACTCTGACGGAAAAAGCGAACGCTTGACCCAGCCGCCAAGCGACGAAATAGTAAATACTTCATCAATCAACTCGTCCGGATACCACACCGCAAACGCAGGCTGTTACCGCTTCAGTTAGAGTCCGAAGTCAGTCCATTTGCCAACTGAATGACGTCATTTGCGACCCGCTTCCTTCTGTTTACCAAGCGTCGGCCGCCTGTACTCCGCTGCCGCACCACGATCTCACCACAGTACACACACGGAGATTGGACGCCAGTCAGCCGCACCGCCTAGCCTCAGCCCGAACCGTAGCGTGCCGTAGCGCTTAGCCCAGCAACGGGCCTGCGGTTTCCTGGGGATGACTCGGCACCACATATCCGCGGCTAACACACACACACGCACGCACAAACACACCACACACACACCACCGATCACCGCGCGCTCCGAGACCATTGCGTGACCGGCGGCGGCGGGCGTCTCCGGATCACGGTCGTCACCAGCACGTGTCGGCGCGCGGCGCGGGCCGCGGCGCCAGCGCCAGCCGCGGCGAGGGTAACGCACCCGGCAGCCACGCCGCGTGGCGACGTGCCGTAGCAGCACGGCGCCGGGCGTCCGAACTCAGTCGGCAGCGGGGATTCGAGGGAAGGCTCACGGCCACGTGAACTTCGACGTGGGCCTCGCGGTGGTGAGAAGCCGGCAGCACCCAAACGACGCCATGGCAAAGCACCAACACCGGACCGAAAGCATCGACGCCACGAGCAGCACTGCGCCAGCAGCGCTACACCAACAGTCCTTTGAGGACACACAGACCCAATACGTACCTTACGCGGCTGGAACTCGTATTTACGCAGTGCTGGAACCCCCTTGCCCCTTGATCTTCATGGCAGTGAGCACCAGACAGGAGCCGACGAAGTGGGCCGAGTAGCCGATGCCCTTGCTGGTCTTGAAGCTGTACAGGTAGGGCTCTCTCACGCTCAATGTTGACCGAGTTGATGGGGTCAGTCGGGAACCAGCAGGCGAACGTCCAGCCGCTTTCGTACGGCCACCGCGCCAGCGGCGGGATCACGATCGCCTGCGGCAGCGGGGTCACGGGTCACCGCCGGGTGTGCCCGCCAGGTCGCCAGCCCGCGCCACCGCCCCATCGGCGACGGCCGCCCACGCCGCGCCACACCGAAACGAGGGCGGAGCGCTCGCCGGCGACCGGCCGCCAGGCCGGCAAAAACGGCCCGTCCGTATTTCCGCAGCTGCCGTCGGACATTTCCCAGCGGCGGCCGTGCCGTCGGCCGACCCAGCTCGCGGACGTTGCCGACAAAAGCGCGGGGACGAGCACATCAGGAGGTTGCTGACGCTGGCCTGGTGCCGTCCGCCACAGACAGCGCCGGTGGCGACTGCGATCCGCATGGAGGCCGCGCGCCGGCCGTGTCGGGGGAGTGGAAAAGTGTTCCCCGAAACGGCCCCACCGAGAGCCGCAAAGGGAAGCGTTGGCATGCCCACTCCCAAACGACCGCCGCGCCGCTCCATTTGGGGACCAAGCTGTTGCGGAGTTGATTCAGGTGGTCAGCGAGCTCACCGAATTCAACGGACAAGGTTCACCGGGCTCACCAGATGGCGAGGAAGCCGACTTTACTCTCCCGAGATCCGCAATAAGCTCAACTAAACTCGCTGACCGGGTCCGCCGAAGGGCGAAGTTGAAAAAAGAGAGAAAGTCATCGGGCCGTCCTCGCCGGGGAGACAACTCACCGAGTTAGTTTTGCCGGGGAACATGAAGAAGGTGTCCGGGCTGCTGCGCTGCGGCATCTGGCGCAGTACCGTCAGCAGCTTGCTGGAGTGGCGCGGCTGCAACGGCGCGCACAGACGGCGGTCAGGGGCAGAACATGACCCGGACGGGCGCACGGCACGGGAAACAGACTGCCCAGTAGGATACCAAAGACAGTAGGATAAACGCGGCTATACCGCCACGACCGACCAGCACCTTGGCAAGCGGGAGGGTGCTGAACGTGGTCCACAGCGCTGCGGACTGGTGCAGGGGGCAGGGAGGCGGACTGACATGGCAGCCGCGCCATACACGTCAGGGCGGGACAAGGACGATCGCTGTGCACCCCTCAGGTTACGTCGAGGAGCACGGGCCATCTTGGCCGCCATCTCGCGTGCCAACATGGTCCTTACGGGGATATTTACCCAAACATTATTCAAGCGACGAGAGCGAGCGCCTTGCAGCGAGATCTGAATCCAGCAGGCGCCCACAGCCGCCCTCCGTTTATCTGTTTTTCAGTGGCGTTACGGTTTGGAGTAGGCCAGGTATGGCCCGTGAGCGAGGGAGCTGACATGTAACAACATTTACGAACTTCTGGTAGAGAGGCTGGCTCCATCATAAACGCATTGTGTGTTCGCGATAAGCTGCGCTGTTTGACATCGCGTCGCAGGCACGTTCCATTACGGCTCGATAGAGACGAAGGCCATGTATGTTGACAGAGACCCAACCCCTTCATGACAGGCACGACACAAATAACTAACAACGCCGTTCCAAATGCCCACGACGTGCTGCAGGCTTCGCCTGTCACGCGGCAAGACCCCGGTGACCGTTATGAAAAGCCCCGCTGGATTGATATGTCGGAGCCGCATCGGCAGGCAGATTTGTGATCATTGGCTGGGCCTCGACTGCGTTGCACCCGATCGAATATTGATCAGCCAATCGCCATGGGTGCGGCCGATTACGCTCTCAGAGCGAGGGGTCACGGCGCCCCGGGGAGCCCGGTCGTCCGGACGACCGATCGCCGGCCGGCCGTGGCCGGCAACCGTCCATCCGGGGGAGGGGCGCAACCACCAGCGGACCAATCGATCACCACCCACACACAAACCACCCCGTCCATGGGTGAGGATGGCCGGCCGGGCACGTCACTGACCACAGGCCGGGCCAAACAAGCCTGCCTGACAAACCTCACCAATCGCCCGTTTATCGCGATGGCCTTAGAGACGGGTCGACCCTGGGCGACCCGGCCTACCTTCCTTCCCCTCCCCATTACAGTGCCGTCCGAGGAGAGGCCGGCCGCGCCGGCCCTGCTCGCCGTCGAGCCCGGCCGCCTGCGGGCCGCGCGCCCCCGCCCAGCTTTGGCGCGACCGAGACCGTGACGCGCGCTTCCGCCGGATTGCGTTCGCGCGATTAACGCGGGGCGAGCCGGCAGTTCCGCGCCGCCTCCGCACGTCCTGGGGCGGGGCGGAGCCGGGAGCTAACCCTCCGCTCCGGGGCTCTGGGGCGCCAGGGGCAGTGCGAGGCCAGTGCAGCGACCCGCAGGGGAGATGCGTGAGGCGCGTCCGTATCGAAACAGACGCGTCAGCTGAGGAACAGGCTGCACCTCGCGCCCGTTGCCGGGCAGGCTTGTTGCTGTTGTCACTGGAGCTTTGTGATGCGGTCAGCGCTGACGCTGACATGACGTCACCTGCCCCTCGCCGTGGCAGGGAGAGCGGGCGCAGCGGGGAGCAGGATCCTTTCCTCCGGTTTCTCGGACGTGCAGCTCAAACCATTACGCTACAGTCACCTCTCACTAGGCTGGGTATCATGCGCGGCTGCGTTTTGTTACTTTTCGAGTTGTCGTTTTTACAGAACGAACTACTGTTTTAAACAATAACCAAGTGGGCACAAAACAGAATGGAAGGGAGTAATGTCTTGCCAGCATTCAGCAACCGCAACACTCCCAACAGGACTGTGCGAGCAGCCTGCCTGTTCGCTGGTCTCGTGCTGGCTGCGTCCCTGATTGACTCCCCTGGGACGCATCCACAGTCGTACGCAGCCTCCCGTGGCGGCCAAACGGTGCGACCAACGCGTGCAATCTCAGGCCAACAAAATGCGGCGCAGCAAGCATGCTCATTGCGCTCCCTTTCACCCAGATCCCACACTTCAAGCTGTAAAGCAGAACTCAGCAGGGAATTTAATGACTGCTGCGACATATTCCAACGCATAAAACAGTCCAGTACCATAACATTGGCTACACAAGTTTCCGCCAAACTCTTGGACAGTCTAGGCGCTAAGCCAAAGACTCCGTCGCCTGGCAGCTCCTATTTCGACGTGAGCGCGGGTACGGTCGATGTTCGAGTCCGGATCTGACAAGTCCACAGCGAGCCACCGTCCGGACCGGGCGCCCTGACCCTACGCGGCGAGCAGGCCGGCGCGAGCTCCGGGGCTCCTCCCCGCGGCCGCAGGTCGGGCCACGTACGGCCCGCGCGCAGCGCCGCCGACGCCACCAGCCTTCACGCCAGCCTCAACCTTCACACCGGCGACGACGCTACGGTCAGCGGGGTGACACCGAGGCCGCCAGCCAAGAGTGCAGCCCGCCCGACGCCTGAGCACCGGTGGAGCCCGACCCGCCAGCGGAGCGCGACCGATCACGGGCGTTCGGTCTCGACCGAATGTTTCGATGTGGCAGAGGCGGCATAGAGGATGCAATTCGCAGTGGCCTGCCGCAGAGCATATTTCCACGAGTTCAAAGGCGCCTCCTTCTCAGAGGACAGGTAACTTCGGTTGATAGGCCGCGAAATAACAACATTCGAGCTAATGCTGACCAGATCTTTATCGCTAAAAAGCCAGCCAGCAATATGCCGTCTAAGGGAGAACCCGCTGACCCGTGTTCGCTTCTCTGAGCGATAAGGACGCCGCGGCCGGGCTATTCACATTAAGGCCTTTTCGGGAGGTCCAGGTCCAGGTCCAGGTCCAGGTCAGGTCCAGGTTCAGATTCAGATTCAGGTCCAGGTCCAGGTCCCGAGGTTCAGGTTCAGGTCCGAGTCCGAGTCCGAGTCCGAGTCCGAGTCCGGGTCCGGGTCCGGATCCGGGTCCGCATCTGCATCTGGGTTGGGTTCGGGTCCGGGTCCGGGTCCGGGTCCCGAGTCCGGGTCCGGGTCTGCATCTGGGTGGGTCCGGGTGCGGGTCGGGTCCGGGTCTGTATCTGGGTTGGGTCCGAGTCCGGGTCCGGGTCCGGGTCCGGGTCCGGGTCCGGGTCCGGGTCCGGGTCCGGGTCCAGAACCAGGTCCAGGGCCAGGTCCAGATCCAAGTCCAGGTCTGGCACGGCACTGTGCGTAGTTCCGTTCCGTCCCGTTCCGTTCCGGTCCGGTCCGGTACTCGACAGACCACACGCCTCATCGTCGGACGCGCGCCCATCCGTCGTGGCTTCGTTTCCCATTACTGACGTGTCACAGCCGGCAGCGAACCCATTTGTAATGAATGCCTTCCATCTGGCTCCGCGGGTGGTCTGGGCATCTCTGGAGGCCAGACCTGAGGCTGCCTGTCACAGCTGCGTGGCTTTTATAAGTGGGCTCTGCCGCACTCCGCGGCCCTGATTTCCACGCCTTCGGCCGCTCCCTTTGGACTGAAAGCTGATGTGCTGGATGCTGCCGGGACAAAGACCGATCACGTTTCAAATACCCGTCGAAATTTCTGAAAACGCGTAGCTGCTAATCGTGAAATCGCAGGTCACGGGGTGTAATATACACCCTGGGAGCTACGATTTCACGACAACAGCTGCCAGTATTTAAGAACAGACGCCTCTCCGACTTAATCAAAATTCATTGCAGCGCTTAGCGGGTCTTATCGCCGGGTATACGAAGTCCCGCGCCTGTCGCTGATGAATTCGCTCATCTCCCGGCCAACGCCCACTAGCGCGCCGCCGGCTGCTGGTCGGCGCCAGCTCCAGCGCCGGAGCCCGCTGCCGGCCGGTCACGCAGCCGCGGCCGGCCCCGGCTGTACCGGCCTCATCGCCGCTGCTGGTCGGCGCCAGCTCCAGCGCCGTGGCCCTCTGCCGGCCGGTCACGCGGCCGCGGCCGGCCCCGGCTGCAACCGGCCTCCAGCGCCGCTGCGCCCGGACCGCCGCCGCACCGGAGGGGGGGGGGGGGGGCTCTCAGCTGAGTCTGAGTCATTCCCGCCGCTGCTGCAGTGCACCTTGCCGCCCTCCCCCCCCCCCCCCCCCCCCCCCCCCCCTCCCCCTCACTAAACCGCCGCGCCTGACCCGGGGTGAACTAAAACATTAGGATCCGCACATGATCAAAGTGAGTGTCTGCCACTGAGCATCTGAGCACTTGTGACTGTCCTCTTGCAGACCTGGAGATCGACCGTTTTTTCGAAACTAGCTTAGACGCAACACGCACAAACTGCACGTCATCCGCTTTCGCATTTGTTTCGGAGAGACCGCAAACAGTATAAGCCTTTACTCCCAGAACTGCCCAGCTAAGACTCAACTGACGGCCTGGGGAAAATTATCGGCGATATTGCTCTACTGAATTTGACAGCCGACGAGCCAAACTTCTCCACCTCATGGGACCGGTCCATATCGTCGTCCAAGGCGGGTAGCACTTCGTGACCTTTTCAAACCAATCGAATGCCTCTGACAGCCTTTGGGAGCGTTTCAACGTACTCCGTCCAGATACTTTGTTGAAGAAATGCAGGCAGCACGGCTCCAAGCCGTGCCTTAGGGCTCCGTGTATTCAGGACGGGTGTCCTACACGCGAAACAGAGCTTGAGACGCGCACCCCACCACCAGCATGAAGGCAGTGGAGTTTCCCGTTCGCCGACAAGTTTACCCTAACCTTTAAACGTGGAGGCGCGGCTTCGCCCCCCCCGCCCCCCCCCCCCCCCCCACACTCGATTAGTACAGGCTGTCTCCACTATATTTCTGGCGGAGTCTCGTCCATCTGACTATGCATAGTACATACAAATGTTTCACTACACAGACATACATCCTTTAGCCCCTCCACCGACTCAGACTCGTTCAGGGTCAATCCACGGGTAAGTAAAAGTTAAACTCCCACATGGCGGTGCAGGCGACGGCCTGGCGCATGCTCTTGGGCGCCGAGTGCAGAGTCGCCGGAGCTCCGCCGGTCCCGGCCCGCCCGGCGCTGGCGGCAGCCGCGCCGCGCCGGGGGCTGCCACTCACCCAGGCGCCCGTGCCGGCCTTCATGCTGCCCACCAGCACCTTCAGCTGGCTGACGGTGACGTTGTAGGTGGCCAGGGGGTGCCCAGCAGCTCCACCAGCAGGTCTGCCGGCGCGAGGGATGGCGGACGTTACCGCGGCCCCCTCGCAGACGACACGCGACATGCAACGGCGCGGGACCAACGTTCGCCCACAGCCCATCCAGTTTGAACCACTACGACTTCCGACAAAGCCGGCATTGAATCAAGGAGTCCCGCTTCGGCCTTAAAAACCGGGGTTGTCAAGGTTCGAGTCTAGCCTGATTCCAACTAAAGCAGATGTTGTGCTCACATCGGAGTCAGCTCCAAAAGGTCGACTTCAGAGGCAAACATATTGACACATGTTCTAGGCCACGAGTCTGGACTGTGCTAAAACATCCTAACGTATATTCAAGCTATGAGTCTCGACTGTACTAAATTCCAATCCATTTTTTAGACGATCCGCGAGCCCAACCCACAACCCGAACGAAGGTTTAAACACCTCTCATGGTGCCAGGATAACCACGAAACACTCCCATTTCCGTAGCCACGTCATGGCGTGCTCACGGCCCCATCCGGAGGGCAGTACTCCGTGACCTGGCCCGCGGCCGACGATCCCCGCGCCGTCCGCGGCCGGCCGGAAGGGTCGTCGTCCGGCAACACTACCCCCAGCGCGGAGAACGCACAAACGCCCCCAGACGCCACTGAGTGCCCGCCATCAGCGGGCCGGCAGCGGCCGCCGACCGTCGGCGCAAACGGGCCGCCGAGCACGGCTGCTCTATCACCGCGGCGGCTAAGTGCCATTACACGGACAACACGAAGGCAGTTGGCGAGCTTGCAGCGCTTCCAAGGCGGGCCTCCGGACGGCGCGCTCCGGGGTCCGGCGGCGCGCTCCGGGTGGCTCCGGACGGCGCGCTCCGGGGTCCGGCGGCACGCTTCAGGGTCAAGCGGCATGCTCCGGGGTCAGGCGGCATGCTCCGGGGTCAAGCGGCACGCTCCGGGGTCAGGCGGCGCGCTCCCGGGTCAGGCCGGCGCGCTCCCGGGTCAGGCGGCGCGCTCCGGGGTCGGGCGGGGCGCTCCGGGACACGCGGCGGCCCCGACTACTGGCGGTGCGGGTGGTAGTGCACCGCCAGCGCCATAGCTCGACAGTTGCGCACTGCCCGTCTTCCGCTGCCGCACACGACTGATAACCATGAGATAGTCAGCAGGCGGTCGGATAGCCAGCTACCACACCGAATGGCGGCATATGGTTAAATCACATCAGATGGAGAAGCCTAATGATGGGACACGACTCAAACGCAGCGTAGGAAAGGGCGGTCTGCTGTTGGACTGTCAAACAACCCACGGGATTTTTATCCCAGCTTCCTTGCCAGACGGTAGCTTACACAACTTCTGTGTGAACTGCCGCTATGGTACTTACCGTACGACCGCTCCGTGAGTTCAGACAGTAAATGTCCCATATTTGGTATGCCTTTTAACCATCCAAACTTCAGATTTATTTTATAGATAAAAGTTCTTTAGCTAATCATTTTATTTAGATAATGAAGAAATATAGATAAAATTAAGATTTTCTACGCTTTCGTGACTGAGAAATTTTTGCTCTCCCCAATCCAGGAGCCTCCACTCCCGCCACACACAGATTCCATCGTCTAGCACTTTTAGAATGTCACTGGCATACCTACGCGACTTAACGCAAAGAGAGTTTCCATCCCAAATTTCAAAATCCACCACTCTGAACGCCAGAATATTACCCCCCCCCCCCCCTCCCGCCCCGCACCAAAACCCAAAACGCCAACCCGTGTGTGAAACAACACCGCCCCGACGATGACACCACGCGCCGACTCCTGTGAAAATGTCCTGTCCTTGATCGCGTATTTCAAACATGCAAACAAGATAAGACGAGTGCTGAGAGTTGCAGCGAGCGGGAGCGCGCGCCCGGGGTCGGCGGCAGTCGCGTACCCGCCACGACGGTGTCGGCCTTGGGGCAGCCGCCGCAGCACGTGCTCGATGAGGCCGACCTCCACGCAGGCCTGCATGTTCCGAAGGACTTTCGCAGGATGCAGGTGAACACGCTCCAGATCTCCGCCTGCACGCACGAGCCGGCCGGCGCCATGTTGGAATCCCAGCTCAAGGCGCTTCGTGATGGAAGTGACGCAGTTCGGCGAGGCGGATCCCGATGGCGCGGGGGGACAGCGCACGACCGGAGGGTGACGGAATGGCCACAAGATGACACAACACACGTATCTGCAACCGCTCCGGGAGCAAAGATGCTATCGGAAGAAAATAAACCCGGTCAGTCGGCGGACAACCACTGAACGACAACGTAAAACAGTCGCCTGCGTTCACGGCATCCAGCTAATTTGCAGCGACAAGCGAATGACCCGCTAAAGCAGCCGCCAGACAAGACTTGTCGGTTATAGCGCCACACTAACTGATTACTCTAACAACTCTGACGCACAATTTACGTACTAGTCACTAAATTGATCACGGCCTCTTGCTAGTCAGTCAAAAAACAATAACTGAGATACAAACCTGCCTGCAAGTGTCCCAAAACCAAAAGCAGGGGCCCACATCAACGCCGTTTTGGCGCAGAACTAAGAAAAAGTACCCAATGCCACCGGCTACACGTGCTGAACTCTTCGTCACATTTTCAGATATGTACCTGACCGTCAATCGGGCATCGCACGCCGAGAGCCAGGCGCCAGCCAGCCTTCCACGACCAGGCCTACAGGATCCAGAGCCCCACGGGAGCCGTGGCCCGGTCCGGCCCGGTCCGGCCCGGTTCGCTGCCCGGGGCCCTCGCCCCCCGCCCCGAGCCTTCCCGCCGACACTCACCTGCAGCTTCACCGAACAGTGGTCCAGCACCTCCAGCATGTGCAGGATGTTGCCGGCGTCCTGCACCACGAAGTTGAGCTCCATGTCGAACTCACCACCCACCAGCTGCAAGGGCAAGGCGCGCGTCAGTGGCAGGGCGGTGTGCGCGCACCGCGGGGGAGGCTGCAGGTCACGTGGGACAGCGGTGCCTGTGCAGACATCGGACATCACGCAGGCATGCGGAGGCGCACAGGCCATGGTCACAGCGGACTCATGAACACATCGCAGTCGTCAGTGAGCTACGCAGGTAGACGACGGCTGAATATGGGCACATCGCAGCCGTCAGGAGGTACACAGGTAGACAACGGTTGAATACGGACACGTCGCAGTCGTTAGTGAGGTACACAGGTGGAAGACGGCTGAATATGGGCACATCGCAGTCGTCAGTTAACTACACAGGTAGAAGACGGCTGAATACGGACACATCGCAGTCGTCAGTGAGATACACAGGTAGACGACGGCTGAATACGGACACATCGCAGTCGTCAGTGAGCTACACAATAGACGACGGCTGAACATGGACACATCGTAGTCGTCAGTGAGCTACACAGGTAGACGACGGCTGAACATGGACACATCGTAGTCGTCAGTGAGTTACACAGGTAGAGTGCAGCAGCGCACAGCCAAGTTACGGTTTCACATCAGTCATGGACAGGCATCAGTGTTGGGAGGCGCACACAGACAGTTTCCTGCCTGCAGCCCCATTAACACGCGCTCGGGGAGGGGGGGGGGGGGTAAATTGACCCTCCCAGAGGTTTTCCAGCATATTTTCCGAACGGTGCGGCGTAGCCGCGCCAAATTTTGCACAGCTGTAGATAATTGAGTTGCGCATAGTTTGGTATAAATATTTAGCTGCGCCTTGTAACGTCGCTGACCTACGAAAGGTCAAACTCACGCCAGGGATTCAGCGAGGGCAATGTCCAGGGAATCGCTAAATCCGATGCGACAACGAAGTGTTAGATGAAGTCACACATCTCCGAGATACTTTTTGGGCAACACTACAATTCAATGATCACATTCCACTGACCTAGGGTCAGGTATAAAGGTCAGACTAAGTTCAAAACGAGGTCGTTTTAGTACTCTAGTTCTTGCCGCATGGATTAGTTTCTGATACTCATTCTGAATTTACTGATAACAGAAACCGCATTTCACATCTTCCGTGGACTTTTTAAGGATCAGAATAGGTCACTAACCTAAAATGGCCTACGTTAACATTTTGTTTTTAGGAACATACCGCCTAGCATAACCTTTGACGCTTATTCAAACGCAAAACTCAAAGCAGTTTTGCATGATTTTAGTTACCATGACCTTCTGGGGCATGACCTTGTTTGGCCTTATTTGACCCGAAAATCATGACCTAAGAACCTTAAAGTTTGGCACGAGTGAGTTTACATACAGGCTAACACACGCCGCGAATTTGGTGTTTCTAGTTTCTGAAATCTCAGGGACTTCAAACTGGCCCCCACCCGAGCAAAGGGTATTCAACCGGCCACCCGGGCGTGAGTTAACAGATAAGCACATAACCAACGAAACGTGGACAGATACAAGTGGTCTTGATGACATAAGGGTTCACACCAATCACCGTCCATACAAAGACAGACAACGATCAGAGTGAAAGAACGACAAACAACATGAATTACGGCAGGATTAACCATGTGATTGCAGTTTACTAATTGACAATGTCTCACTTTATAAATTGCAAGAGCTGATAGTTTGCAGTACACTACGACACGTATAGCAAGGCGCTTAAAGCAAGGGCGCATGCGCAATCGCTGGGCTCCTTAGCAACGCACGGGCAGACACAAGTTATAGCGGCGACACACAAACACAAACCCATTATAGTGAAACAGCGAACAGCCATGATAACGACACTGGACATCCACCCGTCGCAATCCCGGTACATGTCAAGACACCTAAGCGCACTAAAGACAAACCGAAAGGCACTAGTTACAGCGTGGACACGCGGTAGATAAGAGAATCGTTTGAGTTTTGGTTCGGTGTCCTAGGTCAAACAGAAGAAATCGCGAAGTCGCAGTGTAAAAGTCGAATATTCAGAAGTAAAAAGATACTAGCCATCATATTTCATTTATTTCAGGTCTTTCGAAATTCTGGAACGGGTCACAATTGCTATCTCAAAGCATCTGAAATCACACAGTACATCTGAACTCAGTAATGTGTGGTATATCG